TTCACATTTCTAAGATGCTGTGGTGTGATTTTAACTTTTGTTTCTGGATTATTAGTTTACTCCTCCACATTACTGCGATAAAAGCCAAAGGTGCTGAAGATTTCAATAGGTCTGGCAGCGTCTGTGGAGAGAGAACAGAGTTAATGTCATTTTGACGTCAATATGACTCCTTTGTACTTGCTTATTAAGTTTGTAATACAACTCACTTGATAATATACCCTATATAATTCTACAATATTCCGAAGGCCTGGGAAGTTGCAAATATAACCCTGTTGTTTAGGAAAATGAAGGGGAGAGAGAATAGGAAATTGTAGGCCAGTTGGTCTGATTACAGTTGTGGAAAAAATCATCTATTATTAAGGACGTGGCAGTAGAGCCCAGAATTTGCAATTGTAACGAGGATGAGACTGTTACTGCTTGGTGTTATTATGGTCACAGCAGTCTCTGCATTTGCACATGTGCAGTTAGAAATCCAATATAGTAGAAATGTAGAAATTGATGTTGGTGACCTCCTGCGCCTTTGCAGGATGCATGTTTCTATCTCCACATGAGTAATCTATATAGTACCATTGATTAATTGAACTTTAACTTTTAATGGATTATTCCAGATGTAAATACAATAAATATGTTAAACTTTCTTTAATTATGTGCATAAGCTTTTAAATACACATTAAGTCATAATTAGTGCTGGTTCTGAGAAGATAATTTCACAAGCATGGAGTCTCACACCCTCAGAGAAACATTTATAATTTAAAATCTTCTAAAATTAATATTAATTCTATTTAAAGATTGTTTTATGACATTTAAGCTTCTCCATTAACCTAATGCGTGTATTCTAACTTTTGTCTCACTTCTGACATTGCTCCCTGTTCTTACATGTCACAGATGATTGATCAGATGATACTGAATTCAAAATTACATCAGAAATGAGGAACGGCTTCCTCTACAGCCTACAAATCTTCTGTAGCAGCAATTGCCAAGGATGAGTGCTATCCCTTCATTGCTAACTGTAAAATCTGGGCCAATATGAGTACGTCGACTCAATGTAGGTTTGTGAAACATCAGTCATATTTGAGAAATCTATCAGATATTTTTGAGGATTTAATCATCAAGGAAGAATGGTTCGATGTTACATGCCACAAAAGAGATTATCACATAAGATTGGGGTCTTGGCGTTGGGAACAATGTATTAGCCTGGATTGACAATTTCTTAAGAAATAGAACACCGATCATTTTTGGGTTGGTGGGATGTGGCTGGTGATGTACTGCAAGGATCTGTATTTGGGTCTCTGATATTAATGTCTATATCAATACCTTGCATGGGAAATGAGTGTAATATATCCATGATTGCTGATGATGCAAAACTGGGAGTTAAGGTAAACTATGAGGAAGACACAAAGATATGCTACTGAAATGTAGGCCAGTTAATTGATTAAGCAAGATAGGCATAGGCCATATGTAAGGTTGGGAAGAGTGAAATTATCAATGTTGATCAGAAAGTGGGAAAGCAAATTATTTGTTAAAGAGTGAGAGGTACAATAAGCAATTAGGAAGACAAATGGTGTATTAGGCTTTATTTCAAAAGGTGATAGGCTGAGGAACATATTCAGATTAGCTCTCAATAGGCTAATTAGTGTATGATAGGTTGAGTTATTTCAACAGTGGGATGGTATATTAGTCACCACATAACATTTTCACCCCTACACTCTGACTAAAAGTAGGAAAATCATGTCTGAAACAAATCAAGGCTTAGTGGATCATGCAGGAATGTTGAATTAACTAAAACCTTAGCCTTGATTTCAAAAATGTCAGATGGATGGCATATTCCTGGTCCCATTTCTTTACGTCTACTGAAATATCATACTTTTGGCCATCTGACAGTGACATTTAAACCTGGGATGAAATTTAAAGCACAGTTTGTCTTCAGCACTGTTCATTCTCCATCTCTCAGAACTACTGTTGTGCAAAACATACATTGTCATCCAAAAAGCAGAGAATTATGTTCATAACATACAGTGAATATCCAATCAACGGCTGTAACTTAGTCAGATCTTCATTTGATGACATATCCTTTCCTAAGAGTTGGATCAATAGTTTCATGATTTCCCATGTGACACGCAGGTTCTATCCTGGCTGTCAATTTTCTTTGGCTCTCTGGTGAATTTGAGGAAGCTTGGAATAAAGATGGTGCCCAGGCTTTAATTAAAAAGGTGTAGATTGACTGTAATTGACAATGTAGCTTTTGCTAGTAAAAATATGCTTTTGCAATTAAAAATGCTTGTATAATTATCTGTACAAATGAAAAATAGATATTACACTAATAAGACTCTTCCCTCAATATGGCATTAAATGACAAATGTAGTAGGCTGATGAGAAACACAACAAAGAAGTATTAAGGAAGGAGTAGTCATTTCTCTAGTCTTTTAATTTAGACGGAAAATATCCTTAAATAGCTCATTTAGTTACAAAAATTGGATTTGGGCAGGATTAATATTATGATGAAGATTTGTGACATTATCATTTGGAAAATCAGGTTCTAAAGTATACGAACAATGATTATTTGTCTGTCTAAATGCCTCTTAAAAATGTTGCTATTGTATCTGCTTCTACCACTTCCCCTGGCTGCCCGTTCTAGGTATCTACTAGTTTGCAATATATATGGACTTTACTAAAGCATTTGACAAAGTCCCTCATGTTAGGCTAGTCCAGAAGGTTAACGCACATGGGATCCATGGTGAGTTGGTAAGTTGGACACAAAATTGGCTTATTCATAGAAGACAGAGGGTAGTTGTGGAGATTTTGTTTTACTGGAGGTATGTGACCAGTGGTAATACATATTGCAAATAACAGAGATCCCAGCTCCAATCCTTGTGGAATACCTCTGATCACATGCACCTTACTTCTCTCAAAGGGCACCTATTCTTTTCCTTCAGAGACTCGCTCTTTTTCAAAAGGGTGCCCTGCCTCTTTAATGAATCTGGTAGGTTTAGAATTCCCTTGAAAAGTGTAAAACCCACAAGTTATGTTTTAGAAACATTGAAAATAGGATCAGGAGTACACCATTTGGTGCTCCACAATTCATTATCATCATGGCTGATTATCCAACTCAATATCTTGTTCCCACTTTTCCCCCATATCCTTTGATCCCTTAAGTTCAAGTGCTTGAGCAACCTCCTTCTGAAAATCATACAACATTTGGCCTTGACTGCTTTCTGTGAAATTGCTCCCCTCATTCTTTTAAACTCTGCCAAATTTAATCCTAATTGATTCAACCTCTCTTCATAGATCAGTTCTGCCATCCCAGTAAACAGTCTGTAAACCTTTGCTGCTCACTCACTCCATAGCAGGAATATCCTTCCTCAGGTAAGGAGAACAGAACTGCACACAATACTCCTGGTGTGGTCTACCTTGCTGTAAAATTGCAGCAAGACATCCCTGCTACTGTACTCGAATCCTATTGCTGCAAAGGCCAACATACCATCTGCCTTCTTTACCGCCTGCTGCACCTGCATGCTTACCTTCAGTGAGTGGTGTACAAGGGCTCCCAGGTCTTGTTGCACATTCCTCTCTCTCAATTTATAGCCCTTTAGATAATAGTTTGCCTTCTTCATTTTGCTTCAAAAGTGGATAATCTCACATTTATCTACATTATACTGCATCAGCCATGCTTTTGCCTACCTGCTCAGCTTGTTCAAATCACACTGAAGTATCAAGTTTGGAAATTCCACTGATGAAAATTGATTTGTTGGAAAACAGTCGTACTTTCACATCTGCAACAGTCTCCATTAACCACCAATTTTCAAAGTACAAGCCATCCCTTGTCCCTGACCCACTCCCACCAAAAATGGTTGGTTTGGATTCCGGGTTTGACGACTCCTATACCATTTTGGCTAAACCAGAGAGGTTCTCTCTATCATTTTGAAAATTCATCCCTAAATGGTTGTTTCTTTACTATCAAGGTTACCACTCCTTTGACTTTCCTTTTGCGATATCTTTGTCATTTAATCTTTCCCACCTTCTAAATATTCCAGATCTTCTCTTTTGTTCTACCAGACCCTTCCCCTTATTCAACAGTATAAATTTCAATGCATTTCTACCTCTCTTCTATCCAAAGGAGAGTAATTTAGGTCTCAAGGCATTAATTCTGTTTCTCTCTCCACAGATGCTGCCAGACCTGTTCAGTTTTTCCAGCACTTTCTGAATTTCTGTTGAACTGGATGTCTATTTACCAAGTGAATTTAATACAGAGACATCACCAGATGTAAGCATTTGTGACACTGGACCAATATCTTTAAACAAAGCAAATTTAATGAATTGGTCATTTTTGTGCTAAGATTGAGAGGCTCAGCAATCCAGGTATTTGAAGACATTATTTGAAAATTCTTTATTCCAACTTATTTTCAGCAATATATCAATACAGCTTATAAATGAATGTCTTACCTTAATTTCCATCTTTATTAAAAATAAATATTGTTGATGCTGAATAGTATTTATGATGGGATGTGTTGTATTTACTTAAAAATTTTCAAAGGGAATCAAATCTAAATGCCATAAAATAAAACATGAATGAACAAAGAGATAACCTAAAGTGTTCAAGTTTTGTTAGGTTACTGACCCTGCATGATCAGATTAGACTATCAAGGTGATGATGGAATGAGTTGAGCAGGAAACAAGTAGGTGGAATCTGTTACAAAGAAAGTAATCCAATTGCCATGCTATATACAGCAAGGCTTTACATTATGTTTTTTGGGAAATTAATTCACCACATTGAGAACGTTTAGAATGTGCAATATTTGACTGCTGAAAATTTTTGAAGATCGTTCTCAGATAAACATTTTTCCCTCTCATGCCTTCTGATGTTTCCTTTGCAATTTTTGAAAGTCAGTTTGATCTAACCAGTTTTTAAATTCTTCACTCTTCATAGTCTTTTTTTTGTCTCCACTGCACATTTTCTTTGTTTGCTTGAGAAAGGTTACTTTGGAGGAATCAGTCAAGGTTTATTAATATGTGCAGAGCCTTTGTAAGATCAGCAGCGAGATAAATAGGAAAGGGAGAGTTGCAGAAAGGGGTTCAAAACCTGCAGGCAAAACGAAATATCATTTGTACAACACTTCACTTTGAACAATCATTAATGACATTTCACAATCATTGCAATCAATGTACAAAAATGAGGTTTGTTATGAGCCCATAATGCCACACTCATTCCCTGTCTAATACATGTGAAATGTATTCTCAAAATATTCTAAACCAAAATAAATTAATTCAGATGTAAAGTGTGGGGTATTAACAGAATGAACATTAGTATGATTGAATTCTGATAATAAAGAATTATTTGACAAAGAAATAGTCTGGTTGTGTTTGGCCAGAGTTATTCTATGTAATGTCATTAAACTGGTGCTATTTTATGATCCCATGAACAGAACATCAATTAAAATTCATTGATATATTTATAGTTTTTAGATGTCCTTTCTGGCCAATACATCATCAAAAGTAATCCTTCTTTGTTTCTTCTTGCAGTACTATTTTAATAAAAGCAAAGGAAACGAACAAAGATAGACAAAATACATGAATTCACATGAAATCTTTCACAACCTCAGGACATTCCAAGGCACTTTACAATCGTATATTTTTGATGTGAAGTCACTGTTGTAATGTAGAAAGTATGTGTCAAACTGGAGAGAACTGCAGCTTTAGAGATTGTCTTCACATAACTCCCCGAGAATACTGTGACCCATCACTACTGTGGGTTCTTTTATCACATGCCATAGGTCAGAACTATATAACTTGGATTATTTTCAATAAAAGTGTCCTTATTTTTGGGCAAAGCTTGTTTCTTTTCACTATAATAAATAGTGTATGACAGACATAACCTTCGAAAAAACAGATTGAGGCTAGTGGCAATTTCCTTTAATTGCATTTACATACTAAACAGGAAAACTCTTCCTAAACATGTAGTTTGCATTCCTATGTGCCAACTGTCTTTTATATCAATGTTTTGCATTTTGAATAGTAATAGTACATGCAATTAAAAAAAAGGAATGTTACAGTATCTTCACGAATGTTCTGCAACTTGAAATCAAAAGATGAGAGCTGGAAAACATTTTCCCTTCGTTCTAATGTTATAACTTTCAGTGGATGCATTCATCTGTATATACAGGATATATGTTATGCACACTAATTGAAGATTTCTGTCTTCCTATTTTTTTTTTTTGTTAAAGAAACTGCTTCAGGTTCTTATTATATAAACCAACTGCTCCTCAGCCTGACCTTCACAGGGATAGTTGCTAGAAGGTTATTTAATCTTTACTACCTCAGGTACCCATTCATCTGTTAAACCAAATTGCCTATACTGCCTTCAGGCTCACGACTGCAGGAAATTACTGAAAATAAAGCTCTTGCCTAATAGGCACAGGGTTCTGCTCCTGCTCTATTTTTACGATTAAAATTCTTAACTGTTGCTTTCTCTGGTGCTTATGCTTCCAATGGCTCCTGTTTAAATAGCACTCAGTGCAAGGAAATCTACTGTGTCAGAGATTGGTATAATCATCAAGATTCTGCCCTAAAATTGTCGGAATTACTTTCTCTCATGATATTGCACTGTATTTATCTTTACAGGCTGGCGTTTAATTATCTTTCAAATTGGAGGAAAATTCCAGTCTGTGAAGCCTCCATATTTGACTAATCCACCAAACACAGCTTCACATGAAAATTTGGATAAAATGCCGAAGAGTGTCCAGCATTTGCAAACTGAACCTGAAGTGAGGAATCAATATTATTGGGATAGGAAATGGGAGAATAAATGGATCATTGAAATGAAAACAAAATGAGTTTCACCATAATGAAAATTCAGTTGGTTGCAGGGATCCTGCTTAATCTCAACAATCTTTTCATTCCAGACTGTCAATGATATTTGTGTGCTGCTAGGACGTCAGGGCACACGATCTGAAGTGCCATTGTTATTAACTATGCCATTTTTGGTGTGCATATTAATATTAATTCATCTCTAACATATTACTGGGCTCAGGGACTCTAGTAAAGTAGTTCTTCCACAAATGTTATTAACCCTCACTATTTAAACAAAGTTTAATGTTAGTTGGGTGAAGTTTGTTTGAATGTAAGGGGTATCATGATTATTTTAGATGGTGTTCAAGGAGGCTTGAAAAATAGCACAACATAATACCAATCCAACTTTCTCACCGACAAATCCTTTGGGTTACAGAATCGCAGAACCACTACAGTGCAAGATAGAGGCCAATCAAGTCTACATTGACCCTCCAAAGAGAATCCCACCCAGAGGCACCCCACTCCCACCCATCCCTGTAACCTCACATTTACCATGACTAATCCACCTAAGCCAATCCACCTAACTTACACATCTTTGGACTGGATGTGAGACATTAGACTCCAAAACTGTCTCTCACTGTGCCTATTTTATGGCAGTCCTGGGGAGTGATGCTGAACAAGGAGACCTCGGACTGTAGGTTCATAGTTCCTTGAAAGTGGAGTTGCAGGTAGACAGAATAGTGAAAAAGGCGTTTGGAATACTTGCCTTTATTGGTCAGTGCATTGAGTATAGGAGTTTGGAGGTCATGTTGCGGCTGTACAGGATATTGGTTAGGCCACTATTGGAATACTGTGTGCAAATCTGGTCTCCCTGCTATGGGAAGGACGTTGTGAAACAAGAAAGGGTTCAGAAAACATTTACAAGGATGTTGCCAGGGTTGGAGGGTTTGAGCTATAGAGAGAGGCTGAATAGGCTGGGGCTATTTTCCCTGGAATGTCGGAGGCTGAGGGTTGTCATTATACAGGTTTCTAAAATCGTGAGGGGCATGGATAGGGTGAATAGACAAGGTCTTTCCCCAGGATGGGTGAGTTGAAAACTAGAGAGCATAGGTTTAAGGTGAGAGGGGAAAGGTTTAAAAGGGACGGTGCATGCATGGAATGAGCTGCCAGAGGAATTGGTGGAGGCTGGTACAATTACAACATTTAAAAAGTATCTGGATGGGTATATGAATAGGAAAGGTTTAGAGGGATATGGGCAAAATGCTGGCAAATGGGACTAGATTTATTTAGGATATCTGATCGGCATGGACGAGTTGGACCGAAAGGTCTGTTTTCGTGTTGTACAGCTCTATGACTCTATTAAAGTGACACAATGAGAACCAGGCCATGACTTTGAGGAAACACCAAAAATCTGATGCTGCTAACTGATGACAGTGCCACATTGCCTCTTTCTAGAAAGGCCTGCTGCATCTTATTTCAATCAGGCACTTGAAAGGCTAGTGTTTGCACCTTCCAGGGATTAAGAACCAGGAAGGTAATGCCTGCTGCTGTCACAATGCCCAGAAAAGCCTTGGATCATTACTGGGTCCCAGGCCAGAGCTGAGGAATGGTGGGAGGGTCGTTGTGTGCAGTTGGCAGTCACGGACCAAGGATTGAGCTGGAGTGTGGGGATGTCTGAGATGGGGGTAAGCAGCAAAAGCAGGAGAGTGGCTCTCAGGAGACATCCCCCTCCAACTGTGCTAATACTGGGACCCTCAATCAGGCACTGAGTGCCTTTAAACAATGGACTCCCCTCACGCCATGCCCTCCCCACCCCCCAGCAGCTGCTTGACAAGATCTCTGCATGGTGAACATTCCCACCCAGCCATCAGTTCATACCAGTGCTGGTGGTAATGGTGGGGCAGAGGTGAACCCCTTAAGTGGGCATTAATTGTCTACCCACTAAGGACTTAATCAGGTGGATTAAACACCCCACCAAACTCACTATTGGAGACAGCACAAGATTCCAACTCCAACTTGCACCCCAATTTAAGTAAACAAAGTGGTCTAATGACTACTGGAGGCATATAACATTTCATTATTTTCTATTATCACGTGAAAGTAGATAATTGATTGTGTGTGATGACTCATCAGAAATACTACTATGGGCTGCCTTTTGTTGTGAAATAAAACAGTTTAACAGTTAATACCTGGTCTTTTACCAGGTCTTTCTTGGTTCATTTTGAAAAGGATTAGGGAAGGATTAGAGGGCACAAGTGAAAGCAATGAAAGTCCAGTCAGATCAAAGGGAACACTACTCTTAATTTTTGGTTTGCTATTGTACAGTTAGAAATCAGACAGTAAAGGCACACCCTTAAAAGTACAGTGAAAAGACAACTAACAGTATTGCTTTACCTAAGAATTTTAAGGCAAGATCAAAATTTGCAGCAACCATATTAACTATTGAAAATGCATAATCACCAAAAATATAGAATGCTGCATACTGATGAATTACTATATTTCTTTCACAGTTGTAAGCACTTCAAAAAGCGATGTATTATGAAGAGTTTTTCAGGAGTGAAAATGTGATAAATATGTCCTTGGATACAATAATTTGTTAATCTCAAGGCCAGTGCTAACCTCAGAATTTGCACTAGGTCATTACCACACAAATTACACGTAGTATTTTCAGGTAAACAATATAGTTTTCATTATTGTTGATGTGAAATATGGAAGTAGATTTGTCAACTTGCTGTTTTGGTGTAATACTGGTTCTGGACATCTGTCATAGAAATGTAAATTGGACAAGTGCTAATTATTAATGCCAGTTTTATGCTCAAGTAGCAAGTTGAAATTCTACTACATGGTCTCTGGAGAAAAAAGAAAATATCAACATTCAAAATGTAAATATAATTGACTAACAACAAACTTGAATTTATAATACACCCTTAATGTGGTAACATGTCCCAAAGTGCCTCACAAGAGCATGATCAAAAAAAAATTCAACACTGAACCACATTGGGACATACTCGGATAGATGGCTAAAAGCTTGGTGAAAGAGGTACGCGTTGAGCAGCATCTTAAAGGAGTAGAGAGAAGTAATGAGGCACAGAGATTTGGGGAGGGAATTCCAGTGTTTAGTACCTCAGCAGCAGTGAACATAGTCATAATGGTGGACCGATTGAAATATAAATGATCTGGTCCTTTATTTAGATTTTTTCAAAGAGCAAACTGTTGAAATAATTTCAATAACAAAAGATACAATTCCAATATTTACTTTAAATCTTTAAATTGATAGACAAACAATTGACCCTG